GGTGAGGGGAGGGAGGGAAGGTGTGCGGCGGGGGCCGCAGGGAGGCAGGGCGCAGACTGGCCTCCTGCCATGTCACCATGAGGGGAAGCAGGCCTGAACCAGGGTGGAAGCTGCGCGCCCCAGGACCCGTGGCGCGGCGCGGCGCGCGGCGGGAGCGCGGAGGCGACTGGCTGCGCCTGGCTGCGCCTGGCTGCGCCTGGCTGCGCCTGGCTGCGCCTGGCTGCGCCTGGCTGCGCCTGGCTGCGCCTGGCTGCGCCTGGCTGCGCCTGGCTGCGAGCCCGTTACATACGGCGTACCTGGGGGCGCCCATGCGCGCCGGCGCCCGTCGAGATCACGCACGCGCATCAGCGCGTCGGGCAGCCGCCGGCCTCGCTCACCGGTGGCTTGTACTTCTTGGACGGTCCCGCGTCTGGCGCGGGCCTACTAGGTCCACGCGTGAGGTGCTCCGGCAGCGCCGGCGTGTCATCTTCGGCCAATGCAGCGCTCGGCACCTCCGCGGCGGGCCACTCCGGCTGCGGCGACCCAGCACTCATCGCGCACGCCTTGGGCTCGCCTCCTCCGGCCCTGGTGACCCGCGAGGACCCTGAGCGGTTCCTAGGTCTGCTTCAGCACTCGTCCTGACTTGTGCGCAGGCCCTCCGACGAGCATCACACGAGCACCGCGTGTCAAGCTGGCCTGCACCTCCGACGCCACACGTTGGCTCCCTCGACGCCTCTAGGTGACGCGGAAACTTGCAATGACCAAGGTTGCCGGCGTCTAACGAGCCCGAGCGGCCATGCCCCGCCGATGATGAATTGGCGAGCGAGCAACGACGCGCTGCCTGACGTCTAATAAAACAGCTTTAACTACAGCAAATGGTTTGAGCGAGCATGCCGCCTCGGGCCAATGAGGATTAAAAGCTCGATAATCGCCCGAGCATCGCAACTCGGGCGAGCAAGGCGTTAGAGAAAAATTCCGGTGTGCGATGTTAGGTCCGGGTTCTTTGGGGTTCTTAGCAACACACGAGTTCGGTCCCGCGGCGTTGGAATGCGTGGTGGCTGTTGGCCGGGTCGGGGACTTGCGCCGTGTCTCTAACCAACGTGGTTTTGCTGCTTTTGCAACACAGTCAGCCGAGGCAAAAGATGAGGGCCAGCTTCCTGGCCACCCCCAGCATCGTGCGACTGTCGACCTCGGGTGTCGCCCGACAGTCGCCTTGACTCCCCAGCGGCCGTCACTGCGCAATGGGTGAGTTCAGGACTAGGGGTTCGCCCCTCGACCGTGTGACAAGGATTATGCCTGGAGTAAGACCAGGCTCGCATGCGGTCACTGGTGGGCCCAGCGTGTGAGGGGCAACTGGTCGTCATCTTACAGCACGACTGGAAGTGCGGCGTTTGGTCAGTCGGATACAGTTGACCACCTGTCGAACGGGAGCGAGGCACCAGGGCTTGAAAAAACAGCAGAAAGCAGGCACTAGGGGTAGCAGTCATGCTGCCTCAGGGAATGAATGCGCAGCCAATGGGGCGCCTGCCACCAGACCGGCCAAAATTGGATGACCCCAAGGCGGGTGCCAGACCTGATGTAGGCGGCTGCACGTGGCACAGCGAGGTGTTTCATCCACAGAGTGGTCGCTGTGTGAGGGGCAGGGAGGAGGCACGCGAGGGGTGCGGCACCCCCGCACGCTGGCGAGCTTGTGGACCTGCATAGCGGCGCCGAGCTCTTGGCCGGTGCCAACTGCGGCGGGCTTCGCCGACTCTCTGCGATTTCAAGGTCGGGGTCCTGAGAGACAAGAAACTCAGCTGACGCAGGACGAGAGGTCCAGGCTTCCAGTTCTGGCGGCGCGCATCCCCAGGCAGGAGGCGGCACCCCGCCAAGGACGGTGTGATGGTAGGATCGCGCTGGGCTGCAATGGCCACGGCGGGCGCGAGCCATCACTAGGCTGGCAGCCGTCCTCGCTGCTCAGAAAAGCTTGCTGTCAGTCAGAGTGCCGGCGTGCGGCCATGCCAGGGGGCCACTGCACCGCAGGAGCTGCTGCTGGCTGTGTCCTAATGCTTGGCCAGCCTGGCCCCATGCCCTGGCCATGCGCTCACGGCATCGCCGCACAGCATGGTATAGGCGGCAATCAGTAGCACACTACATCAGGCTATTGTTGGCAGCGCATGCAGTCCTCGTGTCTCAAGCTATGATCTGGTGCCAGCATGGAGTGGGGCCAACAGCTGCGCATCAACACCGCCACCATGGGGGTGGGGCTGCAAACAGTGGCTGCTGTTGCTCTGGCTGGCCGCTGCAGCTCCACACCTTTGGCGGCGTCAGCCATCACAGTCTGCACATTTGCAACGACCAAGCCGCAGCGGGGCTCGAAAGCAGCGCCCCAATGAGCTGCGGCAGGTGCGCAAAAGAATAGCAGCGGTGGGTGAGGGGCTCCATGGCATCACGTGCTGCTTAGCACGTGGTTACTGTGGATTGTAGACAGGTGCACCCAACACTGACTGTCCTGGTCTCTCGCCCCCGCCTCCAGGCACTGCACACCGCAGAAAGCAGGTGGCTAGATCGATACTGCACCAATACCTGTACAGTGGGTGTGGACAAACTGCGAGAATTTTCAAAGTTGCGCAGTTCAGGACACAGCTTGCGGGATCCTTTCTTTACTCAGCACATACGCAATCACTCCTGGTGCACCTCGCCGCCTCCATCAGACTCCAGCGCGGGCAACTACAAAGCAACCTAGCGCACCAAATTCTCTGCTAACAGGGCAGATTTGTCTCGGCCGAAATAGAAGCAGCGGCAGCGGCCAATCATGGGCAAGCGGCAGCGTCAGCAGCGCCCTGCAAAGCATAAACAGGACCTTGGCGAACAGATAGAAGACCCATCCAGCTTTGGAGTGCGGGTGCGCAAGCATCCATGCATCCCATCCACCAGCCTGGGCGCTGCTTTACCCCGCCTTGAGCGGCCGCCCTGCGCCGCCCGCCCTGCCGCTGAGCAGCCGCCGCCGCCGCCGCCGCCTCGAATCAACCCCCCCTCGCACCCCCCGTCCCCCGCCTCCCCCTCGCCTCCGCCAGGCCAAGCCGCGCGCGGGCAGCAAGCGCGGGCGCGGGGGCGGCGACGATGACGAGGCGCGGGAGGCGGCGCTTTCTCAGAAGGACAGCAGCCGGATCCTGCGGCAGGCGCGCATGCAGCAGGAGGAGGTCGACGCTGAGCTGGCGGCGGTTGACGGCGACGGCGACGGCGACGCGGGGCCAGGCGACCTCCCGGTGAGTCGGGGGTGCGGGGTGGCGG